GAAATTCAGTGCACAGTCCTCACGTGGATTGACCACTTGAGCCGAGGGTATCGCAATAGGGCGGCAAGAGTCCAAGAATGGATTAGATTGTATTGATCTCGCTGGGGAGAACGTGTCTAATGAAGAAACCTCAGACCAGAGATTGTCAGGTTGTGGCGTATTCTGAAAAAAAGGTGTGGATTCCCAAGCTTCGTCTAACAACCGAGCAAATCCTAATTCATCAAATTCATCAGACATGACGTTCCGATTCGTCGCGATAAAAGTTATGGTAACGATAGGAAAAGAGGTTTATTGATAGAACTAATAAACGTATCTAGCCGAAACGTGTAACGAAGAACGATATGGGATATTCTAGGAAGTGGTGCGTAACAACAATGTAACTCATATAATACTGCGGGAGCGGGAAAAATGTCGAGACTAGTAAAATGTTTGTAACAATCGTATGGAAAAATACTGGGCTGGATATAGCACCAAAATAAGGGAGAAAATCTGAGGTACAAAACGCAGCGATACGAAAAAGTCAATGTATCAGAATCAAAATGATAATGATGTCTAAGAGTTCCAGAAAGCAAAACGGAGTTTGACTTATCTGAGCCGATGATAGCGTCCAGGCCCACGCGTCAGATTCGGAAAAATTAAAGTGAGCGGGGGTTAGCCCAAAAAACACACATGGTTCAGTTTGGGTCACAATAGTTGCTCGAGGTCCACTGTTTAAAACACTCTTGTTGCCACCTGTTAATTTGTGCATCCAGCATACGCTTTGGTAGCGAATCCGTCTCATGCCTTTTGCCGTCTTTTTTATGCCGACTGCAATAGGTGTTGTTTTCAACATTTTAACGTTTCTCCTTTTTATTAGGAGGTTTGGCAGATTTTCTTAATTTGAGTTGACCCAATTGTGAAAAAAGTCGAGGCGTTAGGCGGGATTTTAACCTGCGTATTAGAGAAGGCCTTCACCGCCGGTTGGGATTTCGAACCCGCGTATCAGAGAAGGCCTTTACCGGAAGCCAATGCTGTAACCGCTAAGCTACAAATGCGCCGCCTCGCGCCATAAATTTAATCATAATTGGGTCGATATTACCCGCCCAAATTTACCACCCATATGGAATCCACCAATACGGAACAGCAA